CGTAATATTTGTTTGGTAATACTATCAATCTAGAACGTTTCAAACACATCTTGCGCGATCGACCGTCGCGTCACGAAAACAACATCATGGATTATCGTGTCGATACAGCTGGCAGATAAACGTAAAACTCATGAGGATAAGATATGTACTTGCCGGCGTTTCTTCACCGACTGCATGCGTGATTTGCCCATAAACAACAGTATTTGCATTGTGTTCTGTTATGATAAAAGTTTTACACCGACATATTGATATCATCTAAGCCCAATGATATTAAAACGTATCTTAATAATGGTATTTTATCAATTCACAACATTTTATATCACCGTCTTCGATCAATATGCTCCAGTTTTTCCATAATTTTTTATTTATTTTTTTCGTTTCGTTTTTGTTGTAATGTGGTCGGAACACGTAGCGCGTTAGCCATTCACCGCAGTTGACCAACAATGTCACTGCCGGTACAAACGCGTATATAATGCGTATTTGTACGTATTTCAGCGTACACACTGCGTTTGCGGTCAGCTGCGGAATAAAAAATAAACCCCGGTACATATTGTAGTGTTACTGTGCCGGTAGACTATTGGAAGTGACGGCGGCGTCGCACGCGCGTATTGTCGGACAGATCTACTTTCTATACTTGTGTGTGCATAAACAATACTTATACACACACGATCAATAATATCAAAAGGTTTACGAGTTCAAAAACAGTTGCAGTCGATGTTAAGGTGGATACGCTGACTTCTTCCGTGTCACCGGCGTCTGCGCTTCTCCGCCCGCGAACCAATAATTAATCGTCTATTGTTAAGACTACGTATCGTTCCGCTATGCGTAGTAGCTGTACGCACGTTCAAACATTGATATGATATGCTCGTAGAGTGTAGCGAACGTGTTTGTCTATTCGTTATGAAATAATTATGGGAAACGGGAAACGCGAATAATATTTACGTTTAAGGACGTTGCAGAGCTTACTGGTTTTCGCAAGCATGAGTGTATATATTTTCTTTTTATTATTGACTAGGAATCAAACCGAAAATCAGAATATACCGTATCCTGTAATATTTACGAACAACCGACTAAAACGTAGGAAATCGAATTCCAACATTTTATAACCTAACAGTCTTGCGCGCACACACTTACGTTTTAAATACGTGTAACTCGAGTAGGTACAACTCTTGAATTGTTCGAACCACAGATTCAATTATCACTTCAACTCTCGCGTGTAGAGACAAAATTTCGGTTAATGTTTCGATGCGTATTGTCACTGTAGTGTAGACGAATAATAAAAGGACGCTATACGTGGGCGTGTGTGAGTGCACATAGAGACATATTGTCTGCGTATCACATACATATCCAATGTAATGAATATCCTGCCCGCTGACCCCGTGTAGGTTCCTGTGTTTTAGTAGCTGTACACACTGGGAGTTATGACACTCTCACTCCGTTTGCGACACTTTCACCCTTTTTGTTGTTAGAATGTACATGTAGTGTACACGTACGTGCGTTATCCATTATTGGTAAGAATGCGTGCTTAATGGGTTATCGTGGAGTCACCGAGCAGTGAATATATACCACGCGAAGATGTAATTCACCTTACCCGTCTGCAGCCGCTATTGAAAAAAATACGATTATAAGAGAGAGAACGAGAGAGAAAGAGAGAAAAGAAAAACAGAGAAAGAAGATGAAATATAAAAAGCAATTTATAAACTGTAGTGCTAACACGCGCGCGACCGCTGTTGTGAAATTCGATTCTACAGGCATAGGTTCATTGTGCCTGTTTAATTGAATTTGTCGTCGTCCGGACCGAAATTAAACACAAAAACTCACGTGCGCGCACGTCATCGTATTGTAAACACTTTAAACGTGACGGAACAGACATTTCCACAAATGCACAGATGAAGATGTTGATGATGATAATGAAATACAACGGCGCCATCGCGTTACAACCCATTGTGGTAAACACCTGAAAAACTAGTCGATTAATGTATACATTATATCGTACAGTTTTTGTAATAGAGTATTTATCCATTGGTCACTTTCTATTTTTCGTTTCTTTCCGTATACAATACAAAACGGCTGCAGAAAATCGTTTCGGGTCCGAGATCGATCTGGACGATAATATTATGATACACGTCGGTTGTGCCTTCGAACACTTCCGTCGGTCTAGCACGCGTCATTATTGTACAATATACAATATACACTATGGACGATCCGCGATAATACATATAAACGGTGTTCGCATTTCCACGGTCGTGCGGTCGCGTTTCGACAATGAAAACCCGACGATTTGTCATCAAACACGCCGGGACGGAAATAAAACACTTCTGCATTGTACACGAACCTCATTGAAATAACAATAATAATAATCATTGTGATCTTGAATCGTGCGGCCGCGCTGCACAGATGGATTTCCGTCGAAACGAACGGTTTACGAATAATTATTAAATTCGACACTCCCGCGCCATCATGAACATTTTGTAGTTACGTGTTCGAACCGTACACACTGTGCAATTGCGACCCGATACGTTTTCATTTACGGTAGGTACACGCGAATTGCATATGTTGTCTTGCCTATAGACACGCGACGACTATCACTTTCTAATTTTGACATTGAGCCTAACCCTTACACACATACACACACGCACACACACTGTGCTTTCGATTAGTACACTAATAAGCCCACGCCACGTTCACCGACACATCGCTTTTATAACGGCATCGCGGCCGGACTAGTTTTTGACGTTTGGTCGAGATCGGTGTACGGGGGGCGTGATATTCGCACGTCAATGTCTCAATACAAACCTAACGCCGTGACCGTAGATAGTATAATAACGTTGTAATAAATGTTATTATTTTCGATTTGAGCTTTTAAAATGGTTTCGGCCAATCATCTTCCTGACACGCATTCAACAACAATATACAGCTTTCACTTGCGGCATTTTTCATAACTCGAACGCGCGATACCGCGAATACTTTTGATACACGATTCGTTATCATTGTTTATACCAACCGCCTCTGCAGTTTGGTTATGACCACGGTTTAAGACAGCACTATCTTAAACCGTGGTTATGACCTGCAGCGTGTAACCCCCTCAGCTTATCCGCACTGATTGGCCGTTAATAACACGATTTCCTTGGTTTCGGAATACTACGTTCGCAAATTTATTATTCGTCGCGCGAGCATTGTAACACACTCGCGCGATTTAATTAGTTTTTCTTACGCGTGTACACAATGCGACGATAATGATGTGCGATGGAAAACACAGGTATACCTCCTATACACCTATACGACTTTATATTATGTTTACGAACCGGAACAACTTTCTTATATTTTATTATTATTATCGGTTGTAACGCAAGTAGCCGTCGATGTCTATCGATCGGTTTGAATGCGACAAATTATTATCATGATATCCTGGTTTTAATGAACAGAAACCTGCAGTAGCTTTGTTGTACGTGTTTATACGTGTGTATATAAATACACACACATATATATATATATATATATATATATATATATATATATATATATATATATATATATATATTCATATATACTTAAAGACGATGACAATATAAATAGGTACGTATAAGAGTGGATGCGCACAATGTGACAAGAACTAAGCACAATAGGGTCCTGACAATACATTGATATCACTCGCCGCCTCGTCTTTAAATCGCAAACAACCCAATTCGAATGAAAGTAGTTTCAGACACGCCATTAATTATATAAATACTACCACATGGTATATACACTTTATACATATATTGATGACGTGTAATTTGTAACTTTTTTTTGTTTGTTTTATTAAACAAAACGTCATTATCAGTTCTGTGGCCTCAAAAACAATAAAGGTAATTACTAATTATTATTACTAAAAACGTTGTTTCATTTAAATCGAGAAAAATAACAGTAAACAGTAAAACGATCAAATATTGGAGTTTGTATATAGGTACCTAAGTATAACAAGCGTTGAATCGTCATTGTATTTCCAATACGAAATTACTCTTTGAAATTCTTAAACATTTATGTTGATCATCGTTTAAAGTTTTTTTTGTCATCGCGAATTACACTTTTTAAAATCAGTTATTATACTGGAGTTAACGTTATTTTTAATGTAAAATTGATTTAATAATGATACGGGCCAAGGGTAGAGAGAAAAACACAATTTTTTCCTTGGCCCAAATCGACGACAAAAAAAAATATTAAATTACATTTTTGATAATATTCGAAAAACAGTAATCGGTCGGCCAATAATAGAAACGAGAATTACCGGTAGTTCAATAAAATTATAGGCTTATTATACTCGAGTATGCACCTTACCAAACAAAACACATACGATAATTATAATACATACGTACTCAAAACAAGTATCAATGTGAACCGTGCCCGTAGAAGGGTGGATTGCAAAATGGTTTTTTTGTAATGCCTAAGCTAAGTATATAGAAATGACGTCACATTTTTGATTTTAATTCGTTCCAGATACACTCGATATAAATAATATATCTTATACGATGGCTGCAGTATTATTTAGTTCAGAAAATTAAAAATGTTGGTGTTATGAATACTATTTCGATGAACACAAACAGGATGAGAGTACAGTAAAAACACATTTAACTCGTAATTCCATTTATAATAATTTCAATGTTGTTATTTACGTTCAAATGGAAATATACATAATTCGTGTCATTGCGAACATTATATTATATATGAAGCCAAAATAGATGGTTTTATTATTTTTAAAAAAAAAAGAAATGTGGAATTAAATACAACACGATATCCAAACAAAACATGAATCGATAATTGCAACCGCACTAAATCATCACATTACTGCTAGTTATTTAAAATCTTGCATCAACCAAATTATGCAATATATATTATGGTTACGATACAGGTTTCTAGTCTCGTGAGGATTATGCGTTATCAAGGTGGCGAGAGGCTTGCGTTTAAAAATAATACAAGCTAAAGTTTTGCGGGGAAGCAAAATAAAAAGCGGTACTACTCACTGTTGGTAGAGCGTCGGCGGGCAGTTCGGTTCGAGGGACGGCGGGAACGCGCCGGAAGACTTGAGTGGTCCTGCGACAACGTTCTTAGTAGAGGCGGTGGACGGTGACCGGTTGGCTGTGGCGGTTCTTTTATCCGCGTCCCTGGCGATCTTCAGTGGCGTGCAGATCTGATGTTTGACCACATTGCTCTGGACCGTGGTCGTAGTCGCACTGAACGCCGGTGGCTTGACGGTGGACATGACCACTTGTTTGGGCACTGCTCCGCCCTGGAACACGGACTTGCGGGCGGAGAACTCGGATTTGCAGTAGTCCTTGTTCGGTATGGTCAGCTTGTTCCGGCGGACGCTCGACGAACGGCCAAACTCCTTAGTACCGTTGTGCCGGTCGTCCGGTGAATCGTTCGCCGTATTGCCACCCGTAGGCAGCAGCAGTTCGGTGGCGAACGACTTCACCGGAGTCTGTGGCACAGCCTTGTGGCTGTCGAATATATACGACAGCGATTTTGATTTTTCGCTCATTGCGTTGTGTTGGTGCGGGTGTTGCGGATGGTGTCCGTGGTAATTGCTCAGCACGTCCTCGACCGCACTGAAACTGCTTTCTAGTCTTTTCTCCTTGCCGTTGCGCAGGAACTTGTCATTCCTCAGTGACTCGGGCTTCGGCCAGATGGCCTCCGGTGGCGGTGGCGGCAACGGTTCGTCCGACACGAACATATGCTCGTCTTCGTCCACCATCGGTGGCGGCGGCGGCAGGTCCGGGCTCGGCTCTCGTTTCGTCTGCGTCGCAGTAGTCACGGGCGTCTGTTGTCGGGCGAGTTGCTTCTTTTTGGGCGGCAGCTCCGGCACCCAGTCGTCGATAGATATCGACGGTCCCAAGACCATGGGGCCTAGAATCGCCGTCGAAAGAGAACCACAACTAGAACTGAATGAGAAAAGCCGTTAACACGTGTAACACAGTTTTATGGTTTTTAGTACATGCGATTAAAATCAATCTAAGACTATGAATGGCCCGGAAAAGACTATAGATGAAAAATGGCTAGATTGAATGGCTGACATCATAAGAACTTTTAAAGGTTTACACTATAACGTTGTTGGAGGAGACATTCTTCTGGTATAAAAACGTATAATATGTTATATGTAACCCAAAGAAGTATGAAACCTACATCCTCCTACACATTTTCTACACGTTTGCACCCGACATATATTTTATTTAATGATTTGGTAATATTATTCTATAGTTCAAAAATTATCAATTAAATTGATGAATATTTGATAGTTTTTCCCGAATTTCCGAACCGTTCAATATTTGGGTATTTCATTAAATATGTAATAATTTATTAGATATCAATCGAGTTTAATTAAAAATGTTTAAGTAACTAGTTGAGAAAACAGATGATGGACGATAAGAGCTTTTTTTTAAATACTTTCTAAAAGAAAACAATCAGTTTTAAAATTAGAAGTACAGGACAAGATTTAATTTAATATTTTACAATATATCATTACAATTATGTAGCGAGTACTATGACGGCAATATGAGTATTTGTACGTACATTATATTGCCTATACGTAAGCCCCTTAAAATGTAATGTAATTAGTATTTTTATAACCATTGAACTATTTTGTTTTGTAGGAATATTTTCGTTTCGTAAGAATTAAATTATAACTGTATATTTAAGTTTAGATAGTAATTTCTTATAGTTTTATGTAATATTTAAGTAACAACAAATGACCATATAAAAATGAAAATATAACCGATCAAGTAATAAAAATGCTTCTGGACATTTTATTACTATTTTCAATTGTACATTGAGTTTACATCTTATTGCAACTAGTTAAGACTGTTCAGTTTAACTTTTTGAATCAATATAATTACTATTTTTTCTCTTAACCAGTGTGTATACGTATGTGATTTGTGTGATAAGTTGTAAAAATTTAATATTTCGTAGCATGTATACCTTCTATGTTGATTTTTATTGAGTTCCTTGGGGTTATTGGCACTAGTCACTTCGTCGTTCGAACATTCGTCTTTCGAACAATCCTATGTAAATAAAATAAAATTAAATTAAAAGAATCCAACGTTTATTATATAGAAACAGCTCCGTTCACTGATGGTATAGCCGGAATTTGAGGCACCGGGCTTGGGGAACTCACGTCATTCCAAGTAGCCGGCGTGTCGTATTCGGAGGAAATTGACGAACGCCTGGAGAGTGGAGTGGGCAATCGCGGACGAGACGGTATTGGCGGAGGTCTAGGTGGCGGCGACAGCTGTGGTTCGGACCTCCAAGACGATCCTGGTTGGTGTCTCTCGTAGAATGATAACAGCGCCCGTTTTTGTATGGCTCTCAGTGAATGGTCCGGCACTTTGTGTTTCTTATCCGGATCGAAATACGTAAATTTGTTGGAGCATTGTTGTTGTTGTTGTTGCTTTTCCAGTTCATTGATACGTTCTGCTACGCTCAGTGCTGGTGGAGATCTAGTCAAATAACAAAAATTAGAAACGAAGAAAGAAAATTAACTAAGAAAAAAAAAAGCCCCCAATTGTTTAGACGATATTTAGACTATGACATGGCGTGTACCACAAAATTCCGTTTGAATCAAATAAAGAAGAACGGTCTTATTATGTCGAATTCCAAGTGAAAAGAGAATTTGTTGGATGGAAACGTTGAGTTTTTTACAATGATTTTAGACATTATTGATCAAATTGTACGCGGTACGGTCTTGGGAAACATGTGAGTAGAATCGGTGTAATAAGTTCGTTGAATAACCGACGTAGGTCAAATGAACGCGGCAAGGGTGTTTTACTAGACGTCGATAATTATAATCACGATGGGTGTCCGAGTTTTTGCGGGGATACAAGTAGTGAGTAGGATGCGTGAAGAGGGTTTGCGCGGTGTAGCACGATTACATACGTCTGGTACGGCGCGTAGAAGTAAAACACTTTGCGCTTCATCCCACATTCATTTCGAATAATAAGAAAAATTAATACGCACTCGACAACAAGCAGCCAAACACGGTGGTGAACGAATGGAAAACCGTGCGGCAGTGTCATAATCAACCACCTACCGTAGCGAATATTATTTTGGCGCTAATTTTATACATAAAAAAAAAACCCATTATAATTTAACTTAAAAGCGCTCCGTTTCATCGCAGCGCCCTGGGGGACCGTCCGTTTCACCGACCTCCGGTTACGGCACCGCACGAATAAAACAAGATCGGATAGATCGTCAACAACAAACGTGACGCACGTTCTCGCAAGGAACGCGGTGCGGAGTAATTAACCGTGGTATAATAGTGGATGTTAAACGCGTGCGACGTCGTAACGTTCTGACCGTCGAGTTAGTACGGGATTCGCGTGTCATTAGTATTGCGGCCCCGTACGTTTTTCTCGCGCATTCGTTACCACCGGAGCCCGCGGACATCGTCACGCCGCGTGCTTAGTTGTCACGCGTGCGCGCGCGCGTCTTTATTTACGATCGTATCGACCACGTCTGCACACGCACGGTGTGCGGTGCACGAAAAACCTACTTCGGCGAAGTCTTCTCGTCCATGACTACGGCCGGCTGCACTGTGTACGTGCTGACCGGAAACAGTTTCCTGAGATTCCTCTGGTTGGCTGGCCGGCCGGTGAGCTCTTGGCCACTGCCGGATGACGACCAACTTTCGGTCACACTGAGCACCGACTCCGAGTGGTGTCGTTGTGGCGCTGAAACCTTGGCGCTGTGGGCGATCAGCTGCGTGGTCACTCGGTGCCCACCGCTGGACACCGTGCTCAGGTCGCTATTCGATCCGTGCCACTTGAGGGTTTCGCTTGACGAACCGGAGCTAGCGCTCGAGTCCCTGCCTTGGGTCGTGGCCACCGCAGCGGTGGCGGTGCATTTATCCGAATCCTTGCCGACCACGACGACGACGGATTCGTTTTCCCTCCTCAACCTGCACAGCAAACAAACATGCGTTAGCGTTCAAGAATCTTGTAGGAATACAACACAACGCTGCTGAAACGTAGTAGTTACGACCGTTACACATTTAAGTTCGGTAACAAGTAGAACTTTATCTGCGCACGGAATATTAACGATGTGTTGACTTTATTTTATTTAGTTATTTTTATTTTCATTATTTTTTTTTGACATTTGAAATAAAAAAATATCGAGTAAAAAAAAGAAAAAAGAAAAACTGAAATGTTACAACGACGGGCGTATAAAGTTCTCATCCATTGCACAAAATTCACTATAACTCAATATAGTACGAAAACAGCTCGAGTGGGATGAATTAGCGCACTGTGTTTTTGAATAAATTTTATACTAACGTGACAATATATAGCAGTGATGGCAAACCTTTTGAACACTGCATGCCCAAAATTACATTTTTTTTTTTTTATAAAGCGTGTTACGAAAAAAATATTAAAAATATTATATTTTGTTATATTATAATTTGATTGTATAATTAATGTATTAATATAAAAAGGTTAGTTTAGGTACATAATAATAATAATATATAATAAATAATAATTATAATTATAATAATATTGCTTTGTTAATTATTTATATTATATTATAGGTCCTATAATATTATATTTTATATAATATATAATAGTAAAAATTTTCGCGTGTCCACAAAATATTTTCGAATACCATCTCGGGCACGCGTGCCATGGATTTGCCATCCCTGATATATAGGATAAGTGTTGAAATAATAATAAAAAAAAAAAAAAATAACAGAGTTGGTAGAATACATAAAAATGTGCATAGAAACATGACATGTACCTGTCGAGAAATGGAGTCGACGTGGAATCGGTGCTAGACACATAACTGTGGTACCCTTCGCTTTGAGCGTACGAAGTTTGGTGCTGATGGGAAGGCACTGCTTTCTCGGTCAGACTGACCTGAGACGTAGACTTTTCCTCGTAAATCCTGGTGTAGTGTTCCAGTTCCTCCTTGGTCAAGTGACTGGACAACGCGCTGTCGCTACCATCAAAACAGCTTGAATACTCGTCTGTTTCTCGCTGCGGAAAATATAATAAAAAAAAGTGTTATGAATCCGATGAGAACATACGTATGCAGTGTACTATATCAGTGCATGTTAGACTCTATGTGTATAGTATACTAACGTGCGACGAATCGTCATAAGCTCTGGAATACTTCTCCAGTTGCGCTTGCGTGAGTTGAGACTTAAGGTCCATCGCTGGATCTTGCACGGTCGTCAATGATAATGGCACACAAAAATTTTTCTCCGCCGTTAGCCTTTCCACGTAACCGCTTTTGGTCCTCATTGAGCGCACTCGGTCTAGAAGTTCGGGCTTACCCTTTTCGCACCGTTCCATCACTGTCTTCAACTGTATAAGAACAGAAAATGCACACATATAAAATATAACGAACAAAAAAATTTACAACGTGTCGTATATATCATTATATATGTGCATATATATTTATTTATACGCGTGTATAATTTCTCCATTATAAGTACATTTATGTGTAGTGTTATATATATTATATGGTATCGGATGAAAATAATGTACGAATCGATTCTTTTGAGGCCGAGATTGTGTTTCCTCGTCTCATGAACAATGGCTAGGGGTCAAAAACTTCGGCGGCATCTAAGTCTAGTCGCGCTCTTTACACACACCAGAACCGACCGTAAAGCCCTCCAACCCAAACTGGTTATTCGTCGTCGTTTAAACAAACATTTATCCGCATCACACCGTGCGCGACGCCGCTGTCACGTCGATCATACCAGCACACACACCGAAAGTGTTTCGCTTGTAATATTCGTATCCGACACGCCTGGTTTTCGTGAACAGTTGGGGTCGATTGATGACAAATCGATCCGCAGCGAACGCTGGACACGGTTCGTAAACACGAATATTATGTGTATACGACGTGCACCGCTGTGGAATTCTTCGGGAACGAGCAAAAGAAGAACGACGATCACGCCGGTGTTGCGTTATAATGTATTATATATATATATATATATAGGATTAAAACATATTATTATGAATCATCGTAAACAAAATCTATGTGTAGAATAACGACGACATCGAAGCAGAAAAGTCATTGCATTTCGAAAGAGACTGCAGCCAACACTGACCAAATAGGTGGATCCCCATACAATTTGTAAACTGTGTAAGTATTTATTTAATAGACGCTGATTAGCAAAAATAATTCGCCCAAATAGAGAAGAGGGTTTTATGCTTCTTGAGTCCACCCCTGAGTCCGTCTATACAACGAGACTCAAGTGGGATGAACATCACTACGCACGACAGTGCTATAATCACCATTTGGAAGAAAACCCGGAATTCTCAAATTGTTTCTTTTGAAAGTCATCGCTGAAGCACACACTCATTCATTCTCTCTCGATTGCATTAGAAAAATTTAAAATGACAAATCGATTTAGTCCCTTTGAAGTTATATTCTCGATGAAATCGAGACATGCGTAGAATGGTCGTATAACAATTTACGTGTACTATCTACAAAATAACATCGTTGGTTTTAAAACGAGTCCAGCGCATTACGACTTATGCATCAGGAAAAAAGGTAATTGTTAATTATAATTAGGAAAAATGTAGTAATCAAAAATATGAATTTAAAGTTATGTATTTTTAGTATTCATTAATTTTTTTAATAATTTAATTTTCTTTTTTTAGATGGTTAAGACATTATTTCATTCGTTAAACAATAAAAATAAATAAAAAATGGATAGCTCATACCATAATAATGCAGTAGCATTCAATTCATAGCCATCGTGTCGACCTGATGACCATTCGATTTGTAAGTTTACATAAGCAATGAACCATTTATTTATGGTTTATTTCCGGGTCACAGAAAAACAGGCAAGGTAAATAAAAAAAAAAAATCACATATGGGTGGTGCACTTGTTTGTTAATTGGTCTTGAATGCCATACGAAAGGGAACTCGCGAGTGCACAGATTTTAGCGAAATCACCAAAATGAATAAATCGTAAACGTTATATTGTAGTCGTACCGCCCTCAGCTTATTTCCCGGCTCACGCAGAACCCGTCATCATCATTACGTCGTTAACGCGCACATATTTTCAAGAAGTTTAACCACGTGAATATTTGATTATTGTTTGCGCGTACGCAAATATGGTACACAGAAGACGACGAGGAATAAATTTATATATATATTTTTTAATATTATTTTTCTTTCCAAAAAAAAAAAAAAAAAAACGACGAATTCATCTCTCGCGCTGCAAGTATATCTCTCTTAGCTGTGCCCACGGTACACCTCGACTCGTCGCCATCGCACCACATGCAAAAATCTATATTTCCAATGTCCGATCGCGCATCGTTGTCCATTAACAACAACAATATTATTATTATTATTATTATCGATAACAATCGATTTGGTTGTCTAGATTCTCTCTCGAATTTTCGAGAGCGCGCGTACGCTCTGTTACAGAAGAACGGAGAATACAACAGCGAGAAGATATTATAATAAGGTGTGTGTGTGTGTGTATGTGTTGTACCCTGACTGAGCGTGAATCATTCCGAAGAGCGACGCGTCCAACGAGTCAGTGACCCGTTTCCTCCGCCCTGCACGACGTTGTCGTCGTCGTCGTCTAACACACGCGATTTACAAAAAATAATATTACACACTCTCGTACGGCACCTTACTATTATGATCATCATCGAAATCGTTGCGACGATAGAAAAAAATAAATATAAAAATGTATTAGGAAATCGCGTGTGTGGGTGTGTTCCGGATTATGTAGCGGTATGCGAGGTGATGCATATGTGCACGGTGATATTATTATCAGAGTATAATTCTCACGCGGAAATGCTCGAACCAATTTAATAACTGTTTTACTGGCGGATGGTACGCGTCTAACGCACCGTAATAATCTTTACGTTTCGACGAGTTCTCCTTGTTTTTTTTTCCATCAACTTTCACCTGAACACTCGCATTCGTCCACGTGAAGATCTGGGCGGTGGTGTTTTGGAAACGTGCACGACGTCGTACATTAGGTAAATTAGGTATGAAAAACGAGATTAGAAATTTTTACGCACTGAATAGTACATGGAACAGTAAATTAAGATAAGATATTATACATAAATATGTGGTGGTGACATTTTCCGCGTACAAATGCAACTTTCCCGTGTACCATATATGTACAGTGCATCTGTTACAACCCTGACCGTGGCATAGAAAGGTGATAGAATTTGACTGAAATTCATCAGTTGACATAGTATCTAAGTTCCTGGATTCAGTTATCACATAGCCATGAATTTATCGAAATGTTATTTAATAAAACGGTCGATCTCTGTTGTATTAGAATATGGAATATAATATGCAGAAGTCATCATTTCACGTGTTATCACTTGACCGTTGCAGTGAGATGCAGTAAGTCATTTTGCGCTTATTGAACTCCCACAATCAGTTACACGCGTAATGCACCATAATAACACATTTTATTTGTGTTCGTTGAGGGCTATAGTGCATAATATAATAGTATAATAACGGTGTTTACTTGTTGAGTGTAGAGCCCATTGGAGAGTCTCTTTGGATATGGCCTGACGATGGGCGGTGGTTGTTCTTCTTTTGGGTAATTATTCGTCTGCTCTTCCGCCCAGGACTTTCTGGCCGCCGTGGCAGACATTCCATTGCTTTTGGTCGTCGTCCCCGCGGTAGTAGTGGCCGGCCAGGAAGGAAACTTTTCGTGTCCACAACTCGTGTCCTTGACCTAAAACACCGTTTTTTATTTTTCATATTTGTATAATGTAAATTGCAGGCACGTACACGGAAAATATATGGAAGGAGATGAGTTTTATGAGGTTATGAAATAAAATTAACTATTAATAAATAACAAATAACGACTAAATAGTATTACTAAAAGCTTAACAATAAAAAAATAAAATCAAATAATGACAGAAAATTTGATTATTCAAATTACTTTTACTAAATTCATATTTATCCAGGAGACAAAAACTACTGATTACTAATAGTGTGTGTATAAAAACACAAAGAAACATATATTTAAACACATATTTTTTAATTTTAGAGCAAAGAAGATGTAAAATCCTAGCCCCCCTTAAACACGCGTCTGGATGAACATAATTTGAACTACAGACATATTATCAAGTTGTGTACATAGGATAGTATATAGCCATTGTAGGTATCAAAAAAATTAGTTTTACATAGTGCGCACAGGTCTTCGTCGTCGATAGGTGCAGGTAGGTATGTGGAATTAATGATTAGATTAACCTTGTCATCGAATAAATAAAATCTACGCGGGCGCGATGCAACATGTACAGGGTATTCATTCATAAATACGTATACACATTATATCGCAGTATGTTTTAAAACAATAATATGATTGAGAGGACGGCATTGTTTTTTACGGCGATTGGGTACTATATACAAGCGTTAAGTATGTTGAACAAGCTGAGACGGAAGAAAAATCCTCTGTCGGACATACGACGACAATTCTTTCAACTCCATCGACCTCTAATTCGTCCTTGATAACGATTTTTTCTCCGTTTAAGTATCTATACATAGCAAAGCCATTGTACAACTGAACACCCACGGATGGAATTTTTTTTATCCACATACATAATGCATTTATGTACATATATATCGATAGAACTGGTTCGTCATCACGTTGATGAGGAGCATGCCGGGTTCGACTGCAGCAAACGACGGTTCATAAGCATTCCGTGCACGAGAAGCCCAATCATAATATTTAAAATAACATTGATGATTATAATCGTATTGTTGCGGCGTATGAGGAATAATAAATAAAATGGATGGAAGTCATATCTTCATAAGTATTACGTAACATTAAAAAGACATGTTTTTAAATTAATTTTTAAAAACGTTTTTAAAATTATTCGTGAGCCTCAAAAATCGAGTAGAAATAACACTAGATTAAAAGTGCAATCGTCATAAAAAAAAAAAATGTAAAAATTACTGAAAGTGTAGTTGCATACGGTGTATAAAGTACTTTAATTTACGAACTATGTAATGTGTAATGTTAATTTTATTTTCTTCTGGTTTTAATTTTATGTAACAAAAATAACTACACTATTATGTGTTATATATCTATATATAAAGAAAAAGTTATGAAAATCGATTTCGTTTGTTTTTTTTTTTACACTGTATCGCTTCCAAACTAGATGAAAATTAATAATTTAAAATCGTAAATATAAAATGTGTGAATCTACTCGTGGTGAATATGAATATATAATATATATAATATACATATTTTGAAGTGCCGGCGCTAGGTACTGCGGGGCCTTGGACATTAGCCTTTAGGATATAAAATGTCAATGTGTCTCACGGTATTTAGATGATAATTTAAAATTACAGGGGTTCTTTAACAAGCACGGGGCCCAGGACAAATGTCCCATTTGTCCTCCCCTAGCGCCGGTACTAATATTTTGGTACAGTTTCGTGCGTTTTTATTATAAATTATCTAATTCACATTTCATATACTATTGTTACGGACATTTTAAATTGATTAAAAGGAAATATTGCAATAACTTCTACGTAAATATGAACTTAATAAAACAATAATGAAATGTCAATATACATATAACCAAATATTTACTTAATTATTAAAGAAATAACAAAGCGAGATGTCTTAAAGAACTATGTGGTGTTCGTGGAAAAATCTTTTCAAAACGAATGCGAATATTATTTTTGAAGTTTCTCATAATGTATGACTTCCAAAGCAAAATAATACAACGTTTATATGTTAATATGTTTTGAATTACAATCCATCGGCTATATATAATAATATTCAGTTTTGAGTACGTCTTGTTATTACATAACACTATAACTCTATATTATATGATGCCTATGTTTCTCTATAAATTAGATGTATTAAATCTTTTGTTCATTAGATTATAATTTTTATATCCTAGGTAATACAATAATATTAATGGCTAATTACACGATGCATTGTAATATACAGCTAGATTCGTGCAGATTAGTTTATTCTATTTATTATCACTATCTTAACGCACGGGGAGTTGTTAATTTGCCATTTAACTTTCTAATTTTAAATTAATTAAAATGGTACTACATGAGCTACAGTTATATAATACTTTCCAATAATTCACAAATGAACGCGAAATTATTTTGCAATACACTGCACAATTCTATTATGTTGTAGCATCGACTTTAATATCGGCGCAGCTGGTGTTGAAATTATTAATATTGGTTGATTAAATCCTATGCCTGTTCGAGGTGAAAAAAAAACCATGGATGCGCAGTACGAGTTTTTAACGAATACGAACAGTCTATATCGCGGTATTCACGGACAAAATTAAAACCTTACAAAAATTTCTGCCGTATAGTCGAACGTGGGTTGCGCCGCTTAACATACAAGAGTTATTGTAACATAGTAGTAGTCTAAACGGTAGCGAGTCTAACAGCACAAGATTCCTTAGTCCTAGAAAACTTGTAGGAACGCGATTATGCTATAATACTGATGTTCGGTTATTATTATTCTCTTATGATCCTTGTTTATTGTGTTATATGTAATTAAATAATAATTTATCATAATTATTGGTGAGTAAGGTGGCTCGCCAAATGGGACGAAGAGAAATGGCTGTAAGCTGCGGCCAGGGCCGGCTTTAGATACGATCGACGCCAGCGACGGCACAGGGTGCTAAAGTCAAAAGGGTGCATGAGAGGCGTTAAAATTAAAAATTAATTTGATGAAACGTTGGAGACGCAAATTATCTACTACAGGTAAAAAGAATAATGATTTTCTCAATGTGATTTAATACAAATTAATTTTATCAATATTATTTGTTATTATATCAACATGCAAGTAGTGGCTGATTTTCTCTATATGATTTATAAATATGTGGAAAATATGGTCATTTAAAAAATTATTTTGAATATTTTTGATTATGAACGGGTTTCTCCAACTCCCCAAATGCTGTCTGTTTAAGTTAAATTTTTAAGTCGTTTAAGAGGGATGGGCGCGCTAAAATAATAATTGCACTTGGTGCTGAAAGAGCTGAAACCGGCCCTGGCTGCGGAAAAATTAACCTTTTTCTAAAAGTCGATATGTAAACTACGACAAGAAAAAATTTAACATTATACATACAATTTGCGACAAACTGATAAGATACATTATACAAGCTGCGAACATTTATTTTATATACCTACAATATTTTATACATACTACATAGTAGGTAATATGTACCGTACCTATGTTTGTATATCGTTTAATTAAGTTATGTTGCATTTTACGTGATCCTATGTTTTATTACCACTTATTTTTGATTCATATTTAAATTTAAATTTAAAATTGTTTGACATTATTAATTAATTGCCATTCTGGCTAAACAACGTTGTAAATTTCATCACGTTGAATTAAATATTAAACTTTCAACTACTATTGAATTTTATCGATTTGGTTGCTGTTGACCCCCAAATGAAAAAGTTATAGAATTGGGAAATATGACTTAACGCGTCACACAATCGCAAATAACATAATTACGCGAAAACCGGCCGTCCGACACATCATTATCTGTTTTGTGAATTATTTTTGTTCGTCTTGTCGTCGGTCGCGATAATATTTACCACGGTCGCCCATTTTTATGTTGTCGTTTCCGTACCTCCAACGCGTTGTGTTATAATATTATTGCAATTTTATTTTTCTCTAATAGAAAGGCTCTAGTAACAGTTTTTATTTTTCATTATTATAATATATTGTCTTAGGCTCTAATAGCCGTTATACCATATTTTTCTTGTGCGCACAGAACGTATTATACTAGAGTTTATTTATTTATTATTTGTATAGACGCGAATCGTTTAGATTGTATTTATTTATTTTAAAATTTAAGTAGCGGCTGGCCAGTCTGCGCTCCACAATTTGTGAGTTTTAATTTATATTATTTATTATTATTTTTACTTGTTTTGTGTGATTGTGTGAATTTTTAGAACAACTAGTTTATTTATTTATTTATTTATTTATTTATTAATCAGTTTAGTGATAACCGGCTCAAATAGACGGCCACAGTAGGGTAGAATACTAATTATTCATCCTACTAATTTATTATTATATATTATATTTTATTCCTTGTTCTAAAATCCGCCTCACCAACACACAGTTACCATTTTATAATTTATAAGTAATTTATTATTATTGTTAATTTATATCGTTATGCCAGAAGGGCAATTATTATTTGTTATTTATTACCAAATTATTTTATACTCTTACGTGTTGCTGTAAATTATTACTATTTTTTCTTTGTTTATTTATTGAGTACCTAATAAACAGCAACACCGTTACCAATTTCATATTTATTTATAGTTACCCTTTTTCCTTAGTGTAAGATACACACATACACATTATAGTCGGTCGGTGGTGTGCGACCCGCATAAGTCGGTGTCCGGGAGCGCGGCATATTATTTGTAGCATCCAGCCCAAACAGTTGCAGATTATATAATGTTAATTTTTTTCTTGTCACAGTTTACGCATTGACTTCTAGAAAAAGTTTAGTTTTGACACAGTTTACCATCTCCCAGGAGAAATATGGCCGAGAGCTGTAGTACGTTTGAAAGTTCGAGCGTGAACGTGTCCTGAACCGATTCGTTTTTCGATCAATTTATTTTTATAAACTGTTTGACGTTTGTCAATAACATACTCGTATCAACATTGTTATTGTGTTTATTATATAATATTTTTACACTTAATAAACTTACTATCACCTGGCGCTTTTAATTTACCCTCAGTTTACCGCACCCATACGTTTCCGAATTATATGTTAACGATATAAAAACGACGAAAAACTCACTTCTACGGGCGGAAGCGGTGCCCTGTGTCGGAGGGGTACGTGTCTGTCGCAGGTTTCTGTCATGCGGGCTGTTACTTGACCGCACTTGACACCGTTGCTACTGCTACTGCTGCTGTTGTTATTGCTGTTACTGCTATTAATGCGCCTGCTCTCGTTGTTGCAGTTGGAACGATTCTCCTTACTACCGGACAATTCTCTGATGGTGGCCACGGCAGAACAGTTGGGTTTAGCGAACGATCCATCGTTTCGTACTCTGTCGAGAAAATAGAAAAAAAATGATTATTAAAAATTAACCGTCGGAAAACCAATAATAAGAAGATTAACTATACAAATTGAATACTCGTACTACAGTAGACGTGCATACAGCGTAAAATATTATATTATACACGATTTAAGGCGTCAAAAACATCGTCGTCAGTCGCTCCTCGCAGCGCATTCGATAATTGTTTCAAAACCATGACAGATCGACTTGCGCGCATGATGCTATTTTTTAATTTCTATTCTTGTAATTGTGTTTTTTTTTTTATTTTATTTTTTTCATCTAATGCCATTTTAATTGGCAGCAACAACGGTAGTAGAAGTATACTAGAAGAATATAATATATAAGAGAATAAATACCGAGCGCTGTTAATTATGTTACTCCAGAGAACCGACCGCGCGAGACACAATGGTAGAGAGACTATATATTATTAATAGACATATATAGTATACACCTCCTGTATAGTATACTTACATATATACATACTGTTGAAGCCGCGTCGAAGATTCACACGAAATACAAGTCGGGTGACACGCGGAGAGTTGTGTGCGCGAGCGCGTGTTTAATTAACTTTCACGCACGCACGCGCAAACATGATTTGAATTACATTTTAATATATCAAACGCACACGCGTAATACCTACGAATATAATATAATAATAGCAATGATATATGCGCAATCAGAGGCGATCATAATAATATAATACGCGATTTGCTCGTGTATACGTGTTGTACAGCCGTTGGTAATTGTAATTTATTTCTTATCACAAACGTACTATATACAAGTATTAGGGGTGTGTGTAATGGTATTCAATGCGACGTGAAATAATAATCGTTTAATATATAATATTCCTGTGAAGCAAAGTCGGTTTGTTTGCTGCACGTACAAATAATAATTTAATCACAATAATAATGACTACCGAGCAAAAAGTCGCAACCGTATACAAGTGCGGGTAACAATATAATAATGAAACGCAATCATTGGTTTTTTAAACTGTTACTATGCACGCTCAATTCTTTGCTGCGGCACTCGTATTATCGTTTTTATGATTTATGAACGATATATTATACATTATCGGTCTGACCACTAAACTATTGCCACAGCATCGAGCGCTAACTCTATCATTGTCATGTCTCATCCGACGGTGGTGATTTCTTACGCGCATATAATTATATCTAAACGTGAGTAGTTTCATTAACTCGAGTTATAATCAACACACGACGCGTTCCGTAAAAATAAACGCACGAAAAGCATCATATTAGTAAACTGCGCGGTACATAACGAATCGTTTTTAAAAATAAACCGGTTTAATATACAACGTATCGGTATAAATAATAATATGTAGTATTAAAATTTTTGCACGTCCGTGCGCTCGCGCTAGATACTCAGTTAAATGGTTTGAAATGCTTTGTCACTCTATATACAGATTTTACACCTACTTACGCTCAAGATAAAGTATTTTAGTGGAAAAAAACCCTAAAACGTACGTTTAAACGTAGGAATATGATATATATATTTTTAATTTTTTCCCATTCGTGTATTAGTTATCTTAAAAAAAGACATCGATCGCACGTACTCGTACGTATATATTATAAATATTTATTACACGACTGTCTCGACACCGGGTTTCCGCCAAATTTCAATTCCGAGCAATCGTTAAAATAAACGCATTCTTACGTTAAAACGCACGTCGTTTCCGTCGCCAATAATATAGTATTATTGCACCATTATTATTTTAGTATAATACAATACAGGTGTGATTACTCCCAAACCCTGTTTTACCAGTGATTGTTTGAATACCTATATTTGAATGCGTTTTACAAATCGTGTATACGCGTAATACCCTCGCGGATACCGCGGCTAACGTAATGCAGAGTATTGTGTTTTCACGTTATTATTTATTGTTTAAAAATAAGGTATACGGCTGATGATTTATGTACACCGGCAGAATAGAAGAAAAAAAAACTAGACACTACATCTCGACGAGTATTAAAAAATTACGCGATTTTCAGCGATGTACACGTAGATAATTGAGAATTTTTTTTTCCGCTGGTCGGTCGGGGTTGGTGTAAGAAAAAACACTGGCAATATTCTACCGTCTCTGTAATCACCAGCGACGTCGTACCATTATTATACGCACCATTAACGTTCGAACTATATAATATACACCTCCTATACGCTTCATAGCAGTCTTCCACTCCGAACTCATTATGTATACGTAAAAATATTTAATGCTGTATCTGATTTTTAGACGAGCTGCAACGTTCCTCGCGTATTATAATAAACTATATATGTATATTGGCCCGCTCCGTGTAGAATTTGCGCGTATACACGAGGGGATATACACGTGAAATAGATAGTGAACGGCCGAATGATTTATGTACTGGAGCTACCGAATTTCCCGAGGTTACGCCCACCTCGGTCGCCACGCAGACGCACCAGCCGTACATAATATGATTATTATCATCCCGGTATTATTATTCACGGCGGCCAGTCAGGCAACAACAGCATCGCATCGGTTCAAGTCGTTGGTATACTGGCGGTGGTAACGTGCCACGGGAAATAGGAAAAAAATAAAATAAAAACTAAAACAAGAGTCGGACGTTGCGCGCATTCCGAACATAGTCGAAAACCGGTTGGTTTCTCCTTGTCGTCTCGCAGCGATTGCATAAGCGACAAAGCGCATCTTTGAGCTCGCGTACCTCGATGTAGTTAGTAGTAGCAGGAGCAAAAGTCCTTCGCCCAGGATCACGGGAAGAGCAAAACAATTTGTGCAGCCTTTGTGTCGCGAAAAACGATCCGGTTCCTTTTACATAATATATAAGTCGAGGCAGGAGATTCTCTGACTTACAATATCACAACAAGTATATTCTTTACCTCGGTGCTACTGCATAATAAATATTATTGGAGACGGTTTGGTATGAATTATATTCTTACTATAAAATATCCGGCAAGATATTTGCGTATTTTCGGCGATGATATAAAAGAAATGGTTTTTTTTTCATTTCGGATTCAAGCAACTCGATTAATACTTGTTAGCGAGATTTGCAATACCAATGTGGATAGGTCATCAGTCGGCGACACCGGTATTCAGGCCGCACATCTGCAAGGTTGACGATTATTTTTTTATCATTTTTGTTAACGCTTTTTTTCCGCGTCGCGAGTATTTACCGTTAAATGCCGTCGTTAGAAACGGTCTGACGCTGATGCGGAAGAAAATGACAAACGATATATATAATATTTTATTAAACAGTGCGCGTTTCGTGCCAATATTATAATTATGCTATATAATACACATGACACACGGGATATAGACACTACGAAAAAAAATCGTTTAAACAATATACGAGCCGCTCAAGTATAATATAAACGTGTACATAAATTAAGATGTGTGTCGAGTTGGTGAAGTTGCGTATTCATTATTGTCGCCTATTGTGTTCCGATGTTTGTACTTTGTATAAAGTTACGTGTCGTTATGCATTCGTTAACAGGCGCGTACGTATATTATGCACATATTAAATAGATTAGATATTACATCGTTATTGTATTATATATTCACATACTGTTGCATAACGGTTCGCGGGATGCTGTAGAGCAACGCGGCTTCGTACGGTTTATGTATGCACTCGCTAATAGTGAATCGATGCGACAAGATCAGCCGATAAAATCATGTAAATGTCCTCGTCCATAATAAACCGTGATCTGGAGCTGTATGACGATGCGTTTCCGTCGAATGAAATGGGGGAGAAAAATTAATCAACCCAAACGCTGCCTTCGCAGTCTTGTGCGTCTCAATAAGACGATATTATAATACTATACCGCGAGTAAACTTGTGAACGGTTGTAAACGGCCAGCGGCGCGCGCGTTTATAGGAATACGTGTGCAAAAAGAAAAGATAAAAACTGTAGCGTTTTAAGTAAGAAGGGAACTATTAAAATAACCACTGGATCGGAAAACACGTAGGTTTATATTTCCACACTTCCACTCGTCGCCGTCGAAGGCACGAACGTTTCATCTATTATTTTTTATTAAATACTTTTTTTTGCTTCTTTCCTTTTTCGATCGGATGCGATTATCGCGTGTGCACGTAAGAGCTTGAAATCAGCGTACACGATGTACGTTAATATATTACAATAGTCATACACTGTAAACAATATTGATGAGTCGCAAGCCAAACGAGATCTACCTACATCGTAGCAGCAACAACAGATGGTCACGAGTGATTACGGCGGCGGCGACAATGATCGTGTCATGAAATTTTTGAAATGACAAAAATAAACGATTATTCAATCCGAACAAATGCAGCATATTCTTATAGGTTAATGGCGTCGTGCATTATTTTAATAGCTGTTGTGTTATAGCAACAGTCATGATAAATAACAATATGAATAAAGAGTATAATTTTTTTTTTTCATACTCGAATTCAGAAAAATCAAGATCCTACAATTATCCAGCATCCAGCATACATTCTAATTATATATATTTTATTATTTTTACTATAAAAACACGCGCCCGACAACGACTACGATGGAAAATAAAATAAAAATGTCTCATATACTGTTATGCTATTGTACCTGCACGGCTTTATATACGCATACAGTATGTTTATGTCATAGGGTTATTTTATTATGTGTAAGGTGGTCGAACGTTATCTGTTATAATTGTCATCTAATGTGAAAAAACGACGGGACCTTTGGCCGTAGTTGTAGACAAAAGGTATATAACGCATAATATGCGTACATAAGGGCAAATGTGAAACGGTTACGATATTCTGTTCCGCTCACTTGCGCCGAGGCGCGAACTCTCGTTGTTTTCATACATTTACTAAGTACACACATCGTTTACAAATATATTATTATGATTATGACCGTAAAAGTTTTACGATGCAGGTGGCACTATGAGGCGAGAAAATGTTTGTTGTCGTCGTTGTCGCCAGAAAAGATTTATCATTGTTAAACGAATAATTGAACGTTGCATAATCGCGACATATCACC